AGTGTGCTTGCCGTGCGTTTGCTTGCCGTGAATTCATTCCTAAGGAACGTTTTTCTTGTGAGAGGTCACAAATATGTAATAATAATTGCAATCGATGCCATTTTATCTATGATTTAAATTATCCACTATTCAAGCTGGAGGATTATACGCGAAAAAAGGATATACAGTACATGTAGCAAATAAAATTCTGGATCAGCAATCTCCCTTTCCCAACAAGTCACATACCATCTCCCCAGCTATACACCTGACCATCAGTTGTTAAAGCCAGTGTGTGTCCATCTGATCCTTTTGATGAAGACACCTTCTTTACTACACAGTCTGCAAGGACACTGACTCTCTTCAACTGCTGCTGATTGACAGAGTCTCCAAGGCCAAGACGGCCATAGCTACCCTGTAAATACACAACATGTTACCCGTAAGGAAATCTACACAACCTAAGACATTGAATTAACAGTCTACTTCTGACACTGTTTGGTGATCATTTTACACTGTAATGTATTAAAATTAAATGGACTGTGTCACGATTGTGCGCATGTCTGAGCTCTGACAGTAGCTGATTGTCTTTGAACCAATCGGAAGCGAGTAAGCTGCACGCGACGAAATTGATCGCGAAGTGGGAGTCTTCCGGACGTTTATATTCGATTTTATATATATCCCCATAATTCATATTTAAAAACAAAAATAATTTGTAAACAAACCTTACTGATCTTTCTGTTTACCCTATATAAACTTAGAAATACCTGCAAATAGCTCCTGACCGGTGATCAAAACACACAGTATAGGATGAGGCAAACGTTTTGCTTAAAATTCCAGCTAAATGCGCGCTATAAATATAATAAGCCATGCCATGCGGGTAGTTTCGAAAACGAAGCACTCGAAAACGAAGACCGAAGCACGAAGCACCCAAATCTCGAAAACGAAGCACCCAAAACTCGAAAACGAAGACTCTAAACTCGAAAACGAAGCACCCAAAACTCGAAAACGAAGACTCTAAACTCGAAAACGAAGCACCCAAAACTCGAAAACGAAGACCCCAAAACTCGAAACTCTTGACCCTTGTCGTCGATACCATTGAAAGGGTAGTCAGCTGTGAAAACTGTTCCGTACGCACCTTTTCCTATCTGCTCTTTGAAAAGTCGTAAACCGGTAGTCCAGAGCAATCAACAGTTTATTGCAGAGGTGTGACAAGGCAACGTGATCAGTGGTACGTGAAAGTGTTAAAAACAAATCTCACTCTTAAAACTTGTCTTCATTAGTGCTGCGTTTTTTATTATTCAGTGAGGCGGCGCAGCCGGTTGAAATAGATAAAAGGCATAAAAAAAATCACATGGCATATAACAAATAATAATATTTTTCAACTACAACAAAGTGTAAGCAACGCATTAAAATTCATACAAAATTTCAACTACAACAAGAGGAAAATCAATTTCCATTAGTGTTTGCGGTTTTCTCACTCCTGGTCAGTCTCGTGTTGTAAAGGACAGACCGGTTTCGAGTTTTGGGTGCTTCGTTTTCGAGTTTGGGGTGCTTCGTTTTCGAGATTTGGGTGCTTCGTTTTCCGGATTTGGGTGCTTCGTTTTCGAGTTTTGGGTGCTTCGTTTTCGAGATTTGGGTGCTTCGTGCTTTGGTCTTCGTTTTCGAGTGCTTCGTTTTCGATACTACCATGCCATGCGGTCGGCTAGCTCAGTCGATTGATACCGGTTGAAAATCGTAGCATTGTTTGAAAGCAATTCTTAGCGCTTCATCATAAAACGCTTTCATTGCAATAGTAGCCACATAACGTATAAGTATAAAGATTATTCTAAAAGAACAACGGAAAAAAGAAATAAACAGGAGCCCATAACTATGGCATAAATTTCAACTGCTTATCAGCAAATGAAAAAATTCCTTCCGAGTCGTTGCGTTGCGTGTTCCGCAAAACAAACGTTATCGATTCAACACCTAAAGAAACCAGATGTTAAACGGAACATTCAGGGACAGATCAATTCTTAAACATCTACGATCATACAGAAAAGATACAAGGAACATTCCCAGTTAACTACATCAGTAAAGATCGCGCGGCCTGTTGTCAGTACTTTCTACTGTACAACTATAGATCGGAGTCATAAATCGAATGCCTGTTAAAACGTTTCATGTTCGATGGTTTGTCTCCTCAAACCTCACACGACTTCGTGTACAACAAAAGATTGCTGAGTTTTCTCCTTCTGATTCCAGGCACTCGATAAATTAAATTGCTGCAGACAATCGGAAGTCATGTCGCAGATCAGCTTCAGTCGCCGCTGCGTCCCATTAGTAGTCCACGGCTATATCGAGGAAACCCTTTTTAACTCCTCTTTACATGTTTATCGTTTGAAAAATATCCGTCAAAGGTAGATAGTTGACTGGAGAACCTTGGTAGACAGAAATGAAAGCCAGATGACCACATTAAAGGCCACATTTGATCCGTTTGTAGGAACACTGACAACAACGAACTCGGTGTATGACATTTGCAGACTGCAGACTGCAGACCACAGAATGCAGACTGCAGACTGCATGAGGCAACAAGACTGTAAATTGAATGAAACCAAAAATATCGTCATAAAGGTGGCGTCATCATGAATAGTACCTTGTTCCGAAAAGTAAGGCCTAGAAGCGAAGTTTACATTTTTCAAGCAAATTACACCGACCTCATTCCTAAAGGAGCTGTTGGCTGTTCTTTTCGTTTTGAATTAGAGCAGAATAATGTCTGCCGATGTCATAAACTTGCTCATCAATCCATAGCAACAGTCTAGCAATTTAGCCTGCACCAAAGACAAAACTAAACTATAAGTCTGTCTGTGAAACAGCGCCGGAATCCCTATTCTACGGGGGCCCCACCTGTGTACTAGGACTTGAGTATGAGCAATGATTTGCCTATTTAGAAATTCAAAATGCACTTCTGGTAATTTGTCGAGTCCAGATAGGATCTGTTCGTTTTCGATTATTTGGCATATCCCTAAATACTGCTAAGATGAAATACGTCATTTAAAAGGTGTTAAATGTCCTTGATCTATCCTACGAAGCGGCTCGCAATCTAAAAACCTTTTTTTTACAGAAGACTACTATTTAGACAGGCATTAGTGGGCATTGCTACTTGTCATTATCAATTCACGATAATCAAAGAAGAATAAAGAATCAACGCAATTAGTGATATGCCGGGTGAGTTAATAAAGGGTCGGTGAAGAATAGCCAAGAGCATTTTGGGTATGAGGCCAATGTAACTTTGCACAAAAATATCAACCTTGTTTCCAAGGCTACTTTGTCACTTTCACACGAGAGAGAAATCAAGTTGCCGCACATGCGCAGAAGCGTGTCACAGTCCCTTTAATGCAGAAAATGTAAGAACGACATCACACTGTGAAGCTGCTGCCCAAAGGGCACCCAGTCACCAAAGGTGCCTGCCTAGCACACACAATTTGCTCGCTGGCGACTAAAATTTTAAACAAGAAGTACACATGGGCACCTAAAACTTATAACTTCCAATAAACAAACAAAATTCTCTGCTCATTTTACGTTTTTGAAAGCTTACTCTACTTCACCTTGTTGGATGCATAGGAGGGTTAAAAAGTCTTCAGTGATTAATCTGCAAGGTTTTATAAATGACTCCGGATCTTTTTCAGAGACACTTCACTCTCAATACTTGTCTTCGTGAATAAAATAATTGTTGTCTCTGTACATGTTTTATCCAATTATATTACTTGTCTTGATTGTTAGTAGTCTCTTTTGCAATTTCAATTACTGTGCCTCTTGTTTTCAGTCATACATGAACATCACAGGCAGGAGTACTCAAGATTGATGCCGCACGTATCAAATGCTTCGTACAGGTAATCACATGATTTCGAGTGCAATTTGGAATAAATAAGCACCAGTAAATTTTGTCAAAGGCCCGCAAAATTGTGCAATTTGTGGTTATTGAAAAAATTTACGAGTGCTTATTTATTTCAAATTGCACAAGAAAAATCATGAGACTACTTATTAACAATATTCATTAAAAAACATTCCATGATAGCTTTAAAATCACATTGATAGAGAAGCAACACGCATAAACCATGTGCAAAAATAATTTATTCAAATGCTGCAATTATCATCATACATGCAGTGAAAACAATATTTTTCTCGATATTTTTAAAGTTTGCAAGCCGCTGAAACAGGTTAAACCGTTCATGGAATTGTCCAATCTGTATCAGAGTCACCTTCAATCACCGTTTGCAAGTGCAAAATCAGAGTCACCTTCAATCGCCGTTTGCAAGTGCAAATGGTGGGTGAAGTCTTGCTGTTGAGGTTGAATGTGACATTGCCGTTAGTGAAGGAATTCATTAGATTCTCATTTCTGCGCTCGTGAACCTATCTTACCAGGTGAATTACCTGCTGGCTTCAGTGTGCTATTCATTTATGAGATGGCCCACGAAAGCTGTCGCTGTTCATTTTCATCTGCTTTATCGTAGTCATCTAAAGATTGGATATTTGGATATTTCTGTGACCAGTGACTTTTGCAATTGCCAACCTTTGGAGATTCGCCTTCTTCATCTTGCTAACTACTGTTTTACGGGCACTGTGATTGGAAAACCGCTTCTCGGATGTCACAAGGCTGGTTCCGGAGATGATTTTCTTCATCATGGAGTTGATTTCATTTTCTCCCATGGGCTGTACCTTCTACCAAACTTTGTCACTGGCTCAACTGTTGTACTTTATCAAGAGATAAAATGGACCACTCCTACTCAGATTGGGAGGTCTACTGCTTATGTACAGACCAAATACCGTCAATTGCATCTACCCTACCTGTGAACACACGCGCGCAAAACATGTTTTCATGTGACGTCAAACGTCTGAGTTTCAGGTGTCAAACTTTGAAGTTTTCCCGCCCAAATGTGAAGTTCCCTCGGTACAGTCGGTGTTCTCGTGGTTCACTCTGTTCTCTTGACTGTTCACTGTCAGCGCGGTCAAGAAATCAGAGAAAAATCAGCGAAAAACTCTTCACTGATATGGAGAGCCGAAAAAGTATCGAGGACTTCCTCAGAGAAGTGGATGAAGATATATTAATATATGCTGGTGAATTACGAAGCAATGGTTTTATGTCAGCAGCAAGCACAAAGTACCTAACAGAAAATGATCTAGCGGGAATCCCTGAAGGACATAAAAGACTTATCTTAAATATGGTTAGCTGTCTGAGAATGCCCGTACATGAAAGACCGCAAACTAAGTTCCCCTCATTCTCAGAGGAAGCGAAAACTGTCCTTAGTGTTGGCGAGACAAGTGTTGGACAAGAAGTACAGTGGTCATAACGTCAAGCCACCGTCTTGCGCCCAATGATTAGACGAAAATTACTGTCCCCTGGAGAAAGATTCATTGCAGAAAAATGCCACGCTGTGGAGAAAAAACTTGCCAAAGCAGCTTAAAAAAGAAAAGTGCTGGAAGATTATTACCGAAGAATCAAAGAGGCTGTTTCTGAAAATAACTTTACTGGCTAACGATGCAGTAATTGCCATTACCGAAATCATACTGTTCGCAGTTGTCAGACGGAAAAGTACGAGTCAGAATTCTTCTGTGGCGAATTAACGCGACATCCTGACGAAAAGATGAAGCTCCAAGAGCAGAAGAACAAAATAAGAGCCTTAGAAACATCAGCAACTAAACTTGAACAAGAACTGAGGTCTTGGGATGCAGCTTTGATAGAGTGTAGGGGTCAGTAAACAAACAACTAGAAGACATGCTACTCTAAGAATACCCTGAAGAATATGTCCAAAATAATGCAAGAAATTGGCTGAAAATTCAACGAGACATTGCATTTGTGAAGAAATCATTAAAGGGCAGTGGACCGCCTTGATGAGAAATTGTGAAATCTCTCCTTGAGAGAAAATAGTCTGTTGAGAAGGACAAACGCCTTGGACTTAAAACTCTTCCAGAACATGACGTTGCCATAAACAGCTCGACCGCTGATAATTGCTCGCAAACCAGAGTCCGGCTGGAAAGCTACAGTGTAACTATCCCTGATCGGCGAAACTTTACTAGCTCAACCAGTTTCTGCTTGTCGCCAAATACAGCACAGGAAGAGGAAGAACAGGTTTGCATGGCTAAACAGTTGCCTCTTGGTTCCATACAATTTGATAATGGCGATAACACTGAACAAACTAAGAAAGAGGCCAATATTTTGCTGTTCTTCAAGTCATCAAAGGAATAAATGAAACTTTGACTTTGTGTACGGTATTTTACGTAGCCTGTGTGCTCGATTAAAAGTTAATACCTTTACTGTTATTGTGTGATCATAACTAGTTTCTGACTTGTCGACATCCTTTTTTTTCTCATTTAAGCAGTAAAATGTTAGGATGTTTTGAAACAGAAACTTCATTTTTTGTCGAAATTGCACATTGATTGTCGTTTTTCGCATGTGTACGTTTATGCAGAAACTTAGCATTTGCTGTTTTCTCAGATAAGCTGATTTCAATAACGCATAGAACAAACTAAGGAAGCCGACAATATTTTGCTGTCCTTCAAGTCTTCAAAGACTTCAAAGGAGTGAATGAAACTTTGACTTTTTTAGCTTTGTGCATGGTATTTTACGTGGCCTGCACGCTATATTTTAACATAAATAATTTTACTGTTACAGCTAGTTTCTGACTTGTTGACATCCGTTTTTCCTTGTTTAAGCAGTAAAATGTTAGGATGTTTTGAAACAGAAAATTCATTTGTTTTTGAAATTGTACATCGATTGTCGTTTTTTTTTTTTGCATGTTTACGTTCATGCATGCTCAAACTTAGCTACTGATCAATTAACCTTGCCGTTTTGTCTGACAAATTCAATAAATCGAAACAAACTTTAGGACAATACTGACTTTTTATTGTAGTTTAATATTTGATAGGGTATTGACTCTGTGCTTGTAGTGTGGCCACTACAGTTCAAACCACACTATTTCATGCAAGGGAATGTAGACAGCGAGCGTCTTCTGAGAACAGGACTTTGTAAAAATCCTGTGACGAAAAAACTCTTGATAAGTACATTCGGAATTGTGTTAGTAACAGGCCTTTTTACTTTTCGCATTACATATTCTGAAGATAACAGACCACAATTTGGCCGAAAATAAAACCGCCAAAACATTATAATCTTACTAGTAAACAAATTTATAGCCGAGTTTCAAACAAATTAAGTACAATCTTTCGCAACAACATTTCTGGGTCAGATGACTACAATATTTTACTCTATTTCTCACTCATCCATGGCAATAATAATATTACTGTATTTGTTTCAAATTACAGTTCTGTCTCTCAAAAAAAAATATCCTACGTGCTTGTAGTAGCTGCACATGTCGGCCGCTGTTACATCCCCGAACGCTCTCAACACTGCGTATTCCAGGTTATCCCACACTGGTTCCTGGTATGTGTACTTCGACAAATATTTCAGCTTCGAAAATACCTCCTGTACAGTATTCAGATCTGGTGAACACACTGGGAGGAAAACGAGTTCCATTCCCAAATCATTTAGGAAGCTTCGCTGTGCTCTTTCCACTTCGCCATGATGCGCGGCTAGATTGTCCACCACAACAATGTCGCCAACTTCGAGAATTGGTCTTTGCATTATTGGATCAACTGTTGCGAAGCCTCATCAAAGAATCGTAAAAACTGTACAGAGTTCGACGTTCCTTCTATGATGTTTCCACATTTTACTCCATCATACCCAACTAGAAAGTTCAGGGTGAGGTTTGCGGTAGACAAGTATCTTCGCACTTCTACGCAATCTTCAACGACAGATGAGAAACCAAAGTTTCTGTGACCAGCATCAGTCAGTTGAAACCCTGCCTCATCGAAAACCTTAACACAGGAAGGATCTTTGTCTTTTAAATAGTCAATGTACAACTGAGTGTACAATATATTTTCAGGAGTAAAACGCTCTGACCGACATTTCCCCAATCTTTTTCGGGAATAGTTGCGGCCACTTGGAAGTTTGTTCCTAATATTTCTGGAAATCGTTGATGTTGACAGTTCTCCGCAGTCACCATGAATGGCCAAATCATCACGCAATTCTTTAAGAGAGGATGAACCACTTGCTTGCACCATGGTCTCCAACAGAATAGAGTCTTGGAAAGTACACTTAGGAACTGTTTGAACGTGATTCAACGTTTTGGGAGCTGTGCTTCCAGTCAAGTTGTACTGCTTAACGATTTTTGAAACTGCACTCTTGCTGATGCGTAATCTTCGCCCAATGTGGTGGCTACTTACCCAACACATTCGTCTCTGTGGAAGGCAAGAAGGCAAGGTGTTCTTGCCTTCCACAGAGACGAATGTGTTGGGTAAGAAGCCACCACATTGTTTGAAATAAAGATTCTGGGGTTATTACCTCCCATTTTTCCGCTCTTCTGAAAAAGAATAATCCTGTGCAAGTTCTTTCACTTGATTCCGCAAAATGGCTTGAAAGTGGGATGCCTTTCTGATGATTTCTTCCTTTCTTCTCTTTGAGCAGTGTCGAGAAGTAAAACTTAACATTTGGGCGGGAAAACTTCAAAGTTTGACACCTGAAACTCAGATGTTTGACGTCACTTGAAAACATGTTTTGCGCGCGTGCGTTCACGAGTAGATGCAATCAAACGTAAAGTAACTGGACATTTCCCTTCACCGGTGTGAAACATTTTAGGCTGAAACTATTTCGGCTGTGCACTCAAACCTCCAAGTCTGGTTTTCGTAGGCCCTTCTGCAAACTCAACAAATTCGAGGCCGCCATCACCATTCATGATTCTGGAATCCTCCAGTCTCATTCCGTGGTGTTCTTGCCTTCCACAGAGACGAATGTGTTGGGTAAGTAGCCACCACATTGCTTGCAATAAAGATTTCGGGGTTATTACCTCCCATTTTTCCACTCTTTCAGAGAATTTCTTCTTCCTACTCTGATACTTGTCAAGCTTTGTTGGGCGCTTAACACGGCCAGCCAAGCAAAGCTGTTTCGCTTTGCCCTCCAACAACTGCTTGGACGAACTAAATTTTCGGTCATGTACATATACAATCGACAGAGAGTAGCCTTTGTTCTTAAAGTGTCTATCAAGCGATGCTATCATTACTTTAAGGCTTTCTGGTTCATAATCTTCACCTTGTTTATTTTTTACTTCAGCGTAGAAATGCTCAAACAAAGTTTTAAGCTCAGCGGGCTCATAATTTTCTATTTCATCAGTAATTTTCTTCTCTATGCACCACTTCTTCCAAACAGAGAGCCAAAAGCCAGTGCGTTCCACGGTGTTTTCATTTAATTTGTAGGGCTGTTTTTCAGCTCCTCTATAGCTGTTGCGGTCGCAGAGCAAATCTGCTAGAAACACCAGCCACCGCGGTTTTTGCTCAAAACTGGTCCAGAGCAGAGCGGAGCAATTCAGATAGCACATTTGATTGGCTCACAGCGAGTTCCTTTGTTTATTAAACAATCAGAACGCCTCGTTTGTTACCTCTTTCTGCACTTAATTACCTTTTTTCTGCACCGTGTTACCAGAAAACTGCATTTCTCTTAGCCAATCACAATCGAGAAATTTTTTCATGTATATTATTATAAAGATTACACATAGTAAAAACAAAAAAATAACATAATGTTGAAGTGTAACTCTGTTACTGTCCATTTAAACACGCAACAGCTCGCACTACAAATTTGGCACTTGTCGAAAAGTCTGAACTGGCTGGCAGTATGGGTGATTTTGGAAATGAAATGAAAATTGGCTTTTTTTTAAAGTTTTTGCTAAAATCCCATTATTACCCTGCATACTACATAGGAGCATAGGAGGTTGTTCTGACTGAACAGTCCTGATATTGTGGAATTCTCTTCATGAAAACATTTTATAATGCATGCTTTGATCGTCCTGAATATTGAATGGGTGCAATTTGTCTGGCAAAAATGTGAAAAACTGCAGAATTATAGGTTTAAATAGGGCAAAAAAGAACAAATTCTGTCCGAGGTCTGTACAATACACAAACAGCGCCTGATTGTACTGTTAACCTCAGATGTGATGTGTAAAAAGTATAAAAGACTGGTTTTTTAGCCACCAGATTTGGGAAGAGTTTGTAAAGTAAACTTGTCGAACATAATTATTATTTTGGCCCCCCTTTAGGGCAAAGGAATGCAACCGATAAATTATAACGTGTAAATTGGCTGCCAACGAGGATTATCGTGTCTTATAACCGGCCTTTATAGCATAAAATTATATTTCGGGGCTGTCCAATAAATATTCATTTATTAACCTCATAAAAAAAGGTGATGTAGGTGGGTGACTGGGTTATTTTGATAGGGAGGAATTTTTTTCCAAGCCTAATGTACTGTGATCAAAGGTGCATGATTGCTATTTCTTGGTAGCCTGCAAAAACATCCATTTCTCCTCGCTCTTCGCCGCTGGGGACGTTTCGCACGGAGGAACGTCTGCAACTCAGCGGCAGAAATTCCATACTGATGACGCAAATCAATGTTTACATAATAAATCCGGCAGTCATGGGGTTCCAAATACAAATTTGTCCAATTTTACGTCTCTTCTGGTCGATTTTGGTAGTGTTGTCTTCATCTGCCAACGAGCTCCAGCAAAACTCAAAGGCTTCTTCTAGAGGAAAGTATATTCCACAAATATTGACTGTTTTGCTTGAGATTCTTCGCGTTTACATTTGACCTTTGTGGCCTTTTGCCTTTTTCTGTCATTCGTAAACAATAGCTAAAACAATGTAACTACTCCGTCGACCAATCAGCGCTTCTGACTGGATTTCGGACAGATTTTACGTCATCAGTAGGGAAGTTCTGTCGCTGAGTCACAGACGTTCCTCCTCGCGAAACGTCCCCAGCGGCGAAGAGCGAGGAGAAACGGATGTTTGCGCAGGCTAATTTCTTGGGTGTACACATAAAACTATAAACTTGATGTAAGATTTGAGTGGTTCTGGTTCTTTCCCTCAAAAGACATATGAATCTGCCCTATAG